TCGGTTCTGATGAAGGACCGAGAACTACAACTGAAGGATAAACTCGGAAGACTCATTGCCCAGGTAGAAATGAAGAAAAATCGCATGTACAAACTTGAGCTGAAAATAGTTCAAGATGAATGCATGAAACTTGATTTGGAGGATGAGGCCATGAAGTGGCATCTGCGGTTCGGTCATCTTCACTTTGGGGGGTTGACCGAGCTGGTGAAAAAGGAGATGGTGTTTGGACTTCCTAAAATGGAGTTTGAAAAGAAGTTCTGTGAAGAATGTGTGATCGGGAAGCACGCGAGGACTTCTTTCCCAAGGAGTTCTGAGTACCGAGCAAAGGAGCAACTCGAACTGATCCATACCGATTTGTGTGGGCCAATAACTCCAGAATCATTCAGTGGTAAGAAATATTTCGTCTCTTTCATTGATGATTTCTCAAGAAAGACATGAGTTTATTTTTTGAAGGAGAAGTTAGAAGTGTTTGAAACCTTCAAGAAATTCAAAGTAATGGTGGAGAAAGAAACAACTAAATTCATCAAAGCAGTCCGATCTGACAGAGGAGGCGAGTTCACTTCTGTTGAGTTCAACAAATACTGCGAGGAACATGGAATCAAGCGTTTCTTGACTGCCCCATATTCTCCGCAGCAAAACGGTGTAGCGGAACGAAAGAATCGAACTATTCTTGATATGGTTCGATCTATGTTGAAAGGGAAGAACATGCCAAAGAAGTTTTGGGCAGAGGCGGTGCAGTGTGCAGTCTATGTGCAAAATAGATGTCCACAGGCATGTAGACACCCAATTTCGTCCGGGAGCATACAAACAAAGATATGGACGTCTATCATCAAAGAGTTGGAGCTCCCAAGCATGTAGACAACAAGACAAGACATCAGAATGCCTAAAGCTTAAAGCGCTCTTCACGCCAAGGTGTAGATTGTTGAACGTATCTGCCTTAAAGCGCTCTTCACGACAAGGTGTAGATTGTGCTGACCTTAAAGCGCTCTTCACGCCAAGATGTAGATTGTTGAACGTGCCTACCTTAAAGCGCTCTTCACGCCAAGGTGTAGATTGTGCCGACCTTAAAGCGCTCTTCACGCCAAGGTGTAGATTGTGCCGACCTTAAAGCGCTCTTCACGCCAAGGTGTAGATTGTGCCGACCTTAAAGCGCTCTTCACGCCAAGGTGTAGATTGTGCCGACCTTAAAGCGCTCTTCACGCCAAGGTGTAGATTGTTGAACGTGTCTACCTTAAAGCGCTCTTCACGCCAAGGTGTAGACTGTGCCGACCTTAAAGCGCTCTTCACGCCAAGGTGTAGATTGTTGAATGTGCCTACCTTAAAGCGCTCTTCACGCCAAGGTGTAGATTGTGCCGACCTTAAAGCGCTCTTCACGCCAAGGTGTAGACTGTGCTGACCTTAAAGCGCTCTTCACGCCAATGTGTAGATTGTTGAACGTGTCTGCCTTAAAGCGCTCTTCACGCCAAGGTGTAGATTGTGCCGACCTTAAAGCGCTCTTCACGCCAAGGTGTAGATTGTTGAACGTGTCTACCTTAAAGCGCTCTTCACGCCAAGGTGTAGACTGTGCTGACCTTAAAGCGCTCTTCACGCCAATGTGTAGATTGTTGAACGTGTCTGCCTTAAAGCGCTCTTCACGCCAAGGTGTAGATTGTGCCGACCTTAAAGCGCTCTTCACGCCAAGGTGTAGATTGTTGAACGTGTCTACCTTAAAGCGCTCTTCACGCCAAGGTTTGGGTCATTCAAATGTCGACCTTAAAGTGCTCTTCACACCAAGGGATTGATCGTCGAAATGCCGACCTTAAAGTGCTCTTCACACCAAGGTTCGGGTCGTTCAAAATTCTAACCTTAAGGTGCTCTTCACACCAAGGTTTGGATCGTCTAAATTCCGACCTTAAAGTGATCTTCACGTTTGGGTCTTCTAAATTCCGACCTTAAAGTGCTCTTCACACTAAGGTCTTGATCGTCTAAATTCCGACCTTAAAGTGCTCTTCGCACCAAGGTTTGGATCGTCAAAATGTCGACCTTAAAGCGCTCTTCGCACCAAGGTTTGGATCGTCAAAACGTCAAAATTCCGACCTTAAAGTGCTCTTCACACCAAGGTCTTGATCGTCTAAATTCCGACCTTAAAGTGCTCTTCGCACCAAGGTTTGGATCATAAAAATGCCAACCTTAAAGTGCTCTTCACACCAAGGTCTTGATCGTCTAAATTTCGACCTTAAAGTGTTCTTCGCACCAAGGTTTGGATCTTCTAAATTTTGACCTTAAAGTGCTCTTTGCACCAAGGTTTGGATCGTCAAAATGCGACCTTAAAGTGCTCTTCACACCAAGGTGTGGGTCTTCTAAATTCTAGCCTTAAGGTGCTCTTCACACGAAGGTGTGGGTCTTCTAAATTCTAGCCTTAAGGTGCTCTTCACACGAAGGTGTGGGTCTTCTAAATTCTAGCCTTAAGGTGCTCTTCACACGAAGGTGTGGGTCTTCTAAATTCTAGCCTTAAGGTGCTCTTCACACGAAGGTGTGGGTCTTCTAAATTCTAGCCTTAAGGTGCTCTTCACACGAAGGTGTGGGTCTTCTAAATTCTAGCCTTAAGGTGCTCTTCACACGAAGGTGTGGGTCTTCTAAATTCTAGCCTTAAGGTGCTCTTCACACGAAGGTGTGGGTCTTCTAAATTCTAGCCTTAAGGTGCTCTTCACACGAAGGTGTGGGTCTTCTAAATTCTAGCCTTAAGGTGCTCTTCACACGAAGGTGTGGGTCTTCTAAATTCTAGCCTTAAGGTGCTCTTCACACGAAGGTGTGGGTCTTCTAAATTCTAGCCTTAAGGTGCTCTTCACACGAAGGTGTGGGTCTTCTAAATTCTAGCCTTAAGGTGCTCTTCACACCAAGGTTTGGATCTTCTAAATTTCGACCTTAAAGTGCTCTTCGCACCAAGGTTTGAGTCTTCTAAATTCTAACCTTAAGGTGCTCTTCACACCAAGGTTTGGATCGTCTAAATGGCGACCTTAAAGTGCTCTTCACAGCAAGGTATTGATCGTCTAAATTCCGACCTTAAAGTGCTCTTCACACTAAGGTTCGGGTCTTCTATGTTCTAACCTTAAGGTGCTCTTCACACCAAGGTTTGGATCGTCTAAATGGCGACCTTAAAGTGCTCTTCACAGCAAGGTATTGATCGTCTAAATTCCGACCTTAAAGTGCTCTTCACACTAAGGTTCGGGTCTTCTATGTTCTAACCTTAAGGTGCTCTTCACACCAAGATTTTGTGTCACACATTTTTGGATTTAATCGGGTGTGCCCAATATGAAACATACATAAAACATGGTGTAAAATAAAGAGTGGAACAAATACATGAGAAACTAACTATGTCGAAGAAGATCTGAAGCCGCGAATCAAAACTCTGATCGGTAATTTGCGACCAGAATTCGAACAGTTCATCCCTGCTGATTTTGTCAACTCTCAACCTTCGTTTACGACTCAGAGCATCAAACAGTTCCAGAGCAAATTCCTTCAAATCCTTCATACCTATGCATTGAGCGAAATCAGCACGATAGAGAAAACCGTCCTTGGCGAGCCTACTGAAGTTGCTCTGCACCTCGTTCCATTCATCAACGCCGTTTGATTTACTGCTGATAAATTTCAGACCGCGAAGCGCTTTGTGCACGCCGGAGCGCGTGCGATCAAGTTGAGCGCGTTGCTTCCAGAGAGCGCGAGCCGCCAACGCCGTTTCGAATCCGGCGCCGGCATTAGGAGCGAAGGAAGACGAAAGCGCGCGCGAAGCATTGTCGTGGCTCCATGAGAACCTTGGCAGCTCCTACGAGAGCTGCCTCGCCTTCGCAACCGCCTCCGCTTTCAGATCCTGCGAGAACTGCCTAAATCCTCTCGACGAGCTTCGCCAAATCGTCGACGACCGCGTGACTGACGCCGGAGTTTCGTATCCGCTGCCGGAGACGTTGTTGTCGATGTTAATGACGGAGCCGGCTCGACGCTCCGGAGAACGATGGTGTCGTCGTCTTGGAGATCGAGAGTTACCTCCACGAAATCCTCGGCGACGGAGTTAGACTCGGTTCCCGGCGAAGTTCCGGCGCTGACGGTTGCTTTCCCAGGAACGGTGTCGGACGCCCATCGGCGCTCGTGTTTCAGAATACCATTCATTGATGAGACAAAAGGAGCCAATGGAATGTAGGGTGTGGGCGTTTAAGTATCTGTTTTATTGAGTAAAATAGCTTGTTCTGGAAAGTTGAGTTCTGGTATGGAGGTTTGGTGACCTTCAATGTTTTCTTTTTACTCATGCTATCCTCATGGCATCTCCTTGACGCCTTTTGGTTGACCTCGATCATACCTACGCCTCTTCTTCCTCGATAGTTTTTATTGCTCCTTAGTAACCTATGCATCGTGACCTTCCGATCACACAAGGCAACCAAGGTGTGGGATGCAGTTTTACCTGCCCCACGGTGGGCGCCAAAATGTTCCGGTATTGGAGATCACCGCCGAAGAACTCTTAGCGATACCGAGCTAAAAGAACTTGACAGCAATCTTGACCTAGAACATTTGATAAGAGTAACCTGCCCTCTTAGACCTAATCATTACTATATATAATGGTGTAGCGTTATAGACATGAATCGCACACTCCTCTTTATGATCCCATAAATCACGCCTCATTATGGACTCGTAACTCCCGGTATTTATTATCGTTCCCACGGATTGTGGGATTTTATTGATTGTCTGAGTGAGCCAGTGAATCTTCCCATATTTGGGTCCCTATTATGGGCTCGTCATTTTGCCGATGTGCCTCGGGTCGGCCAATGGGAGACCACCACGGTACATAGCCCTCCATGCTCGAGCACTAAGGTGCGAAGAGCATGTTAGATCGGTATTTTACTGACGTGCCTTGGATCGGCCAATATGGTCGGCCAATGGGAGACCACCACGGTACATAGCCCTCCATGCTCGAGCACTAAGGTGCAAAGAGCATGTTAGATCGGTATTTTACTGACATGCCTTGGATCGGCCAATATGGTCGGCCAATGGGAGACCACCACGGTACATAGCCCTCCATGCTCGAGCACTAAGGTGCGAAGAACATGTTAGATCGGTATTTTACTGACGTGCCTTGGATTGGCCAATATGGTCGGCCAATGGGAGACCACCACGGTACATAGCCCTCCATGCTCGAGCACTAAGGTGCGAAAAGCATGTTAGATCGGTATTTTACTGACGTGCCTTGGATCGGCCAATATGGTCGGTCAATGGGAGACCACCACGGTACATAGCCCTCCATGCTCGAGCACTAAGGTGCGAAGAAGATGTTGGATCGGTATTTTACTGACGTGCCTTGGATCGGCCAATATGGTCGACCAATGGGAGACCACCACGGTACAAATACAAATATAATTCACATTCAAAATCACCAAAAGAAAATGAATAAATCTTAAAAATACTAAAACCTTAGACTGAGAGCGAATGGGCGAGTGACTATCTAAGTTTGCAGGGCTGCTAACTAATAGACCTCACAAACCTAATCTTATAAGTTGGGTTCATGAATATTAGAATTATTCTAAATTTATTATAAATAAATTTTAAAAATTTGCTAATATTTTTAAGTAAGTTTTAAACTTTTAACATGAGTTTATTCAAATTAATTTTTGTGTTCCTTTAAACTGACTTTACAAATTAATTTTTAAAAAAATATATAAATAGGAGATAATCTTTATCTTACAAAAATTTAAATCTAAACTCACTTTTTAAGACTTAATTGCAATAATCTATCTTAGAGCATTTTGAGATAAATTTTTATAGTAATATTTTTAGAATAAAATAGAAAGAGTAATTGAAATTAATTTTTCATAAATTATGCATAAATTAAAAATAGATTTTTTAAAAACTAATAGAAGTGAGTTTCTACAAATTAGCATATGCATAAGTTAATTTTACTTTAAAAAATTATTTTATTTATTTTGTTATTTTCCTTTTTTTAAAAGTACTTTTGGAATGTTTCCTCACATAACCCTAAAATAAGTTAAAGAAGCATACCTTAATCTGAATATAATCAGGAAACCAATTTTCTCTATTCCCTGGTTTTAATTTTCTCACATTTCGTTAAGTGGCCTTAAATTCCACTCTAGAAGGCTTTATTATTACTATTGCTGTATTATTTGATTCTCTCTAGAAGGCTTTACAAATCTAAATTGGGCAGAACAAATTGTTTCGGTTGACTTATTATATACTAACCATGCATTGCATTTAACACGAGGAAGACACGAAAATATAAACCCTTTAGTCTTTTTTTATTTTTATTTTTTATTTTTTAAACTTGACTGACTAAATTTATTTATTTATTTATTGACTACAGAAAAGAACCATTATTGTAAATATAATTTTATACTTAACTAGGTACATTGAGCAAGGCTAGCGTTAACATGGAATTTTAAAAATTTAACGAAGATTAGTTAAACAAAAAAAATATAATTATTTTTGTAGCTATGACGTATTTTCATAAGCTTAAATTTTGCAAAGGATTTTTTAAATCGGAATAATTGATAAATACTAGTAAAATTGATAGATACTATATTCTAATAACATAATGATAAAAAAATTGAAATAATAGAGAAACTTTATAATAGTTAGATGAGGAAAAGGCGCTGAACTTATGAAGTAAAGTGATAGAAAGCGGGCCTAATCTTATGCGAAGTAATTACATTTTGTTATTGGGTTTGGGTCCATTAGGCGTGTAAGTTTTAAGGCCATGGACAAACTAGTTTAACATGTTTATATGTGGGGTTAACATAGAAATGGTGGCTTCTTCATTGTTCTGCACCCCAGATAAAATAAAATAAAATATTGGTTTATTTGGGTGGCTTTGCTAATCTGCTATGCTCGTTCCTTAGTTGTCTTTGTCTACCTATATTATACAGTATTATGAAAATGTACATCACATAAGATGTTTAGACTTTTGGTTTAACTTCAATGTAGTTACAAAAGCAAAATTATGAGAACGGGTGTAGGCCCAACTACTTAAACCTTATTACATATCGAGTTAGAACTTCAAAACTTGTGGCTTGAGAGTGAAAACAAATTCATGAATTCATTTTTTGCACTTAAAGTTTTGTCATTTCATTTATTTTTTAAATATCGATAGTCAGAAAATCACGGCGATGGCTTAAGTTAATGCCTATATTTTATTCCCAAAAAATAGAGTTTTACATTAACACCGCAAAACTTACCTTTTCCAATCCATTCACGATATCCTACTTAATTTATGACCTCAATTCTACAGGGCATAAGTGCCAAAATTTAATCTAGCCTCGCATACAAGCATTCTTGATTGGGATTCAGAAGCATTTAGAGTCTCTCTACAATTTCTCATTAATGAAAACAATACAGATTAATTACCTATATTGACAACATAAGAAGTTTTTCCCATCTCAGATTACTTCTTTTATGAAATTACACAAAAATCACTTGCAACGTGAATTGTGTGTGTATGGACGAGTATTTAAAAATTTGATTAGCTGGGTTTGTGAAAAACTAACCCTTATTTTCATGAATTCCCTTTGATAGTTTAATAAGATCACCTTATCTTTAAAAACTTTGTAAAAAATAAACTCATTCATTTGTCTAAATTTTTGTTTTTAAGTTTTAGTTTTATGATTTCGTTTAGGTAATATAAGTTACATTTCTATTATAAGTAAATTTTTTCTATATTACTTATACAATTTTTTCTCTCTCTCTCTCTCTCTTGCTTTCCATCTCACTATAGTCATATTCAATTGTTTTCAAAGTTCTAATTTTTTTAATAAGAAATAAATAAAGACACTACCCACTTGTTATAAAAAATAAAAAAAAGTTAAATCTACACCATTAAGTACATGTTTGATACACTTGGTACGATTTCCTGAAACAATAGTGTTAATTTTTGCGAAATTCAGCAGCGTAGATGGTTGGCAAGTTAAGAGAAATTCATTCCGATAAATAAACATATGGTTGGGAAAGCATATACCGAAACTTTTGTTCTTGCAATAGCAAATAAATTATTACAAGAATAAACATTTGGAAGAAGAATTGAGAGCTTTATTTGATTCCTAAGGTGAAACCTTAAGTATTTACAAAGCGTGAGGGTGGCCATAACAAAATAAATGATAGTCTCTGACCTTGTCGTGATGAGGGTGAAGTTTGCTTTCACGTCCAAGCATTGATGATTTGTTCTTGTCCTCACTACACGACTCTACCACCCCACGAACCCCAAGAAACTGCAGAGAGATAATGAAGATGATGAACGAGGAAAAAAGAGAAAAATAAATTTGAGAGAGAGGGTTAGGTACCTGAGGCTGAGAGAAAGAGAGTGGAAAGCCATGTGTTGGGTAACAGCATGGAAAAAGAAATGAACTCCATGAAGGAATACCACGATTCCTGTGCAACCTAACACCAATAGCTCCATCATTGTATCATATACAATACAACCTTCAAGGACTTGAGTTTCAGAACACAATCTAAAGTAAGGCTTGGTTATATATATGCTTAAAAAGCAGAACAAAATGATTTTATTCTGGGTACCTGGTTGACTTAATTGTGTGGATTGAATGATTTTAAGATGCAGGTCGGTTTGGTGAATTGCTCCTTCCTCAATATTTTATACCATCATTTTCTAACAACCATTCAATGCCCACAAACTAATTAAATCAAATCAAATCAAAGCTCTCCACCCACAATATATATATATTCTCAATTATTGCCAAAGCTTTTCGTATCATCTAGGTTTCCCTATCATTTACATCTTAATTAATGTATAATATATGCACATAAATTATAAACATATTTTATGTCATATAATTAGCGATCATTAGTTTAAATAAAATCCAATTCGATGCTCTTAAATAATTTTTATCAATAAAATTTGTGAATATTTCGTATTAATAATATAATTATAAAAAATATTTATGATTGAGTATAAAAATTTTCAATTTTTATAATAATCACCTTAAATAATATATGTTTCAAAATTGATTTATGATTAATTTGTAATATGTAAATTTTTAAAATAACAATATATTCCTATCAAACCATAAAGAAAATACGACTTAACAATAACCTTGTTGACTAATTAAAAATAATAAAAAAATTATTATTCGACCATAGGATATATACATAGATCAATAAATAAATCATTCATCACCATTTATGATTAAGTGATAATAATATTTTTCTTTTTACAATTTGTAAAATCTTATGAAGAGATTAACCAAATATTAAAAAAAATTCAACTATTTGCATACCTTTTCCCTTTTTCTTGTTTTTGTTACAATGACAATACGTAGGTTTCAACTAACTTCTCACGACTCTACAAACCCCTTATGCTATAAGCTCAATAAATGTGGATTATAAATGTTTGAGACGAAAGTAATACATTTCTCATGGCAAAAGTGCTTACAATAGGAATAAGCAGTGCGACTGTGCGAGTGTCCCACTACACAAGGATAAGGGATAGATTTAAGATGTGATTATTCTTTTGTACGCAACTTTCAACTTCATTAGTTTATAATAACAACATAGAAATAAACAAATCGTGCACAAAACCACATTGCCCTGCTGCAGCATGTTTCGTGCTCTTCTGTATATCTCTTCATTAATACTCCGAAAGGGACCAAAGCTACATAAAAAAACGAAAGAAAGAAAGGAAGAAGTATACATGAATATATCAATTCAAAGACAATCTTAATCTTAACTCATGTGCATCATGCATCAAGTAGTAAGCATGAATTATGTCCAATGCATTTGATAGAGTAAAAACAGGCTCGGCCTTGAGTTTTTTTTTTTTTTTTTTTTTTTGTTTTTTTTTTTTTTGTT